AACATTTCTTTTTCTTTTTTCTTTTAAATTGAAGTATAGTTGATACATTAATACAGTGTTGTGTTATTTTCAGGTGTGTAGCAAAGTGATGCAGTTGTATATGCGTATTCTTTTTCAGTTTCTTTTCCCTTGTAGGTTATTACAAAACATTGAGTGTAGTTCCCTAAATTTATTTCTTATTACAGTTTGTGATCAAAAAGTTTTTGAAATATCACTCAAGGGTTATAGAATTTAGACAAAGATCTCTTTTAGCTGTGTGTTCACCTTAAATATATAAATCTGGCTTTTCCTAGGACATGTTCCCTTCAAAGCAGATATGGTATCCCAGTTGGAGACAGAAGGAAAACTGTGGACAGTGGAGAGGGAAACCCAAAGAAATGGGCATTCCAGTGACATCCACTCAGCTGTTACTTCAGGTATTAGTTAATCTGCTTCTCTCCACATCCATGCCATTGTCTCTTGCCTGTGACAGCAGCCTCCACACTTGTCTCCACGCTTCCACCCTTGCACTCCTATAATCTCACATGGTAGCCAGACTGGTTCTTTACAAAGCAGGTAAGACTATGCCATTCCTCTGCTCGAAACCGTCCCAAGGCCTCCCATCTCACTCCAAGACCGTCCAGTGGACTGCAGGACCCTACCTGACCTGGCTTCCTCACCAAGTTCCTCTTTGATCACCCGGCCTTTTACCCTTGCTTACATCATCCCTGCCATCCTGGCCCTTTTGGAGTGTTCTCTTCTGTTTCCTGGCCTTCGACTTGCTCTCTGCCTCCGTGTCCAGGCCCCTAGCCACTCCCTTACTCACTCAGGTCTTTGCTCAGATCTCATCTCATCAGACAGCCCTTCTGTGTCTGCCCGATTTACTGTCCCATCTTCTCCCCATTCTCCATGCCTTAACCCTGTCTTAATTTGTGTCTAAGCACTGATCACCTCCTGACCCAGTAACCTGTCTTTATCTCCTTGTTCATCATCTGTCTCCCTGTAAAAGTAAGGATTTGGGCAGTTGTATTTGCTCTCTCTGTTCAAAGCCTCTGATGGCCCTTCTGTGTGATAGGTGCCTAGTACGTACTTCTTGGGTGAAGAAATTACTCTCAAACTTACTATTGTTTGGAGCAGGGGTGAGGAAGCTCTCCTCACAGTTCCTCCTGACGTGTGACTCCAGCCTTCCTCATCCATGAAGTGCGCTTCATCCTCCAGATCCCCAGCCCCTCCATGGCCCTCGGTTCTCCTGCCCTCGCTCAGATTTGCTTTGTTCACTTCACTTTCTAACCGCCTTTTCCTTTCCCTCCTCTTCTTTCCTTTCTCTTTAATTTGAATATTCCTCATTTCTACCCATTTAAACATATTAGATATTCATACGAAATCTAAGTATATATTCCCCCTCTGCCTGAAAAATGAAGCAGAGAAGCTTATCTGCAGACATGATGGATGAGGCCCTGAATTCTGAGAGTCACCAATCTGCCTTCGTTTGTCCATCTCCCTTCTCAGGTCTACATGTTGCTTCACATTTGATGCGTTCAGGAATGTTACATACTTGCTTCACTGGAAAGGGGCTTGTTTTTCTCTTTTTTAGATTGAAGTATAGTTAAATTACAGTGTTTTTACATTGCACACTGGACCTCTGGAATCATAAGCCTCCATATTGTCACACTTCAGCTTTGTGCCATAGACCAAGTCTTTCTCTTAAGAAATCTGGTAGCATTTTCTGCCCCCCCTTTCTCAAACTTTTTTTTGTAGTTTTTTTTTTTTTTTTTGGACCTCTTCATCATCCACATGTTTCAGGATTTAATGGATCATTTTGGAAAATTGTCTCCCCATGAACCTCTAATATAATTCTAATTTCTTAACATCTTTCAATATGTAACAGTACATACTCAGTAACCTTATAAGGTAAAAGCTGTTCACAGTTATCAGAATGTATCACTAAATTATCAAAAACTAGCCACACCAAGGTGCCAGGCATTATAGTTCATCACTTCTCATGTAACAATTTCAAGTTGGCTGCTTACGAACAGGAACTGCCTCATCCCTCCAGCCAACTTCCCACTGAACTTCTAAATAGCCACTACCCAAGCAGTTGTATGACATACATGGTAATTGTTTCAAGCTGGATATTTCCAGAAGTCTAAGGGCATTGACATGACCCATGGATATGAAGGAGTTCTGATTAGGAAAGGAAATGACAGAATTCCTAAATAGATTTTCCAGTGTAATTCACATCCTAGGAAAGAAAATTACAGAAGTTTTACAGAAAATCTAAATAGATTTTCCAGTATAGTTTGCATCCTAGTGTCATAATAGGCTGATGTCACAGGTAACAGGAGAAGCCTTGTACATGTTCCAATGAGTTCTCATACCAAGCACCCAAAATTCACAGGCTAAGGGCACTGCCCCCCAGGACTTCAGACACCAGCTTGGGGTCCCAGGGCCTCACTTCTGACTGACTGGCTACAAATTCAAGCGCTTCTACAATAACTTGCTAGGACGACTCAGGACAAGTGCAGGAAAGCTCTCTACATACAATTACAATTTTATTATAGCAAAAAGGATACAGCTTGGTACTGGAGGGAGATGTGTAGGGAACCCTGGGAGTGTTCTTTCCCGTCTCCCTCTTACAAGGACCCTTGTCATTACTCTGGGCTCACCTGGAGAATCCAGGATAGCCTCCCCATCTCAGGATCCTTCATTCAATCAAACCCAAAGTCCTCGTTGCTGTGTCCATTAACATATCTGCAGGCTCCAGGGATTAGGGCATGGGCATCTTCAGGGCATTCAGTTAGCAAGTCTGTCATACCCAGCAACGTACACATACCTGTTGGGACTTGTTCAGTTTATATTTGACTGTAAGTTTCCATTTAAGGAAATAATCATTCAGGACTTGACACCCCTTTAAACATTTTAAGCCAGCGGCTTCCATACATTTAAAAAAATTAATTAATTAATTTTTGATTGTGCTGGGTCTTTCATTGTTGGGTTGGCTTTCTCTAATTGTGGCAAGTGGCAGCTGCTCTCTAGTTGTGGTGGGCGGGCTTCTCATCGTGGTGGCTGCTTTCGTGGCACACAGGCTCTAGGTCTGCAGGCTTCAGTAATTGCCGCTCACGGGCTCTGGAGTACAAACTCAGTAGTTGTGGTGCATGAGTTTCCATGCACCTGGAATCTTCCCAGACCAGGGATCGCACCCGTGTCCCCTGCATTGGCAAGTGGATTCCGAATGACTGGACCACCAGGGGAGTCCCTTCCATACATTTTTAACTGTGATCCTCAATAAGAAGTATTTTACATCCCGACCCAGCATAAATATAATGCATGTGCATATTTATGTGTATGTCTGCAGCTGAAACAAGCGTTTCATGTAGTGGTACCCTTACTGCTTTTGATACACTTTTCATGTTCTTAATCTTTTCTTTTTCCCCAACGTCACAAGATATGGAATTGGTTTCACAGTTCTCTAAAACATGTCAGCAATTCGAAGTGCATGTTTTCCTTGTGACTGTTATTCTAGTGGGTCTAAGAGGGAAGAAAAAACTAGGGAGTTTAGTAAATCCAGTAAGTGCTGTGGGGGAACATAAAGCATGTAAGGCAGATGGGAAGAATGGAAAGGGTGGAGAGTGGGGAGGAATTATTTTTACATTGGGTGATAAGGCCTCATCCAACAGAGTGACATTCAAGCAGAGAACCCAAAGGGAAGAAGAGAAAAGGCAAGCTTCACGGCTTCCCGCACAAAACTTTCTAAGCAGAATAGAACACCCCCCTCTCCTCCCATTCGGGGTTGCCCTTGAGAGTCTGCACTCGACTCTCTTTCTTTCCCCCACCCAAGTTCTTTCTCAGCTGTCCAAGGTTAGTTTTCCCTTTTCCTGTTTCTTTTCACAGAGACCTGAATCACTCCCAGGTTTAAAACAATGAATGCTATTATCCCAACTGCTCCCCAGATTTGCTCTTGGAAGATTGTTTTTACCAGGACCTAAAATACTGTTCTGTGCCTGGACTCTGAGCTCTTGTAACCTAACTGGGTAGAAGCCCACTTGTCATAAGGCTGCTAAGGAAAAGACGAGGGGACTTTTAATTGATGTTGCTTTTGTCTGGAGTGTGGGTTATCTTAGTTGTCCTGCAGCCATCTGGTTTCAAATCTACCACCCTCCTATTAAACTGTTAGACATACAGTTCTAAATGGGTCACGTTTCCATAAGAGTCTGCTGACTCCATTCTTCAGAAAGAATAACAAAAGGATAAATGATGTGGTACAGACATGACCCTTGCCCTGGATTATCAAGGCCTCATCCCATGGCCCAGGTGTGAAATCCCAATATTTCTGAACAAAGCATTTACTTGTCCTCATCTCTGAATGTCGCCTTTTCTTTAGGCAACAAGAACCCAAATGAGATGGAGACTCTTGGGAAAGTCATGTTAAAATACATCTCGTGTGAAGAGCTGTCCTGCTGGCAAATCTGGAAACAGGCCACAAATGATTTAACTCTGCAAAGGAAGAATTCCTGGTTCCTGCAAGGTGATTCTCTTCAAGTTTCTGAAGATGAGAACCATATAATGAATCATAAAGGAGATCACTTCGGTTGCCTTGAGAATCAGGAGTTGTTGATTCCGAGAGCCCAGGCTTCCTGTGGGAGTAGGTGTCTGAGCGAGTCAGAGAATCCGAGCAGAAGTAAACAGATGAACATGAAAAATCACCTGCATGTATGTGAAGGCTTCACAAAGAATTCACCACTGAGTGATCCTGGTAAAACTGACGCAGAACAGACACCCTGCAAAGGAGAGAGACTGCGTCCCTGTAGAGTGTGTGGGGAGGGCTTCAGTCATGGCGCGGTGCTCCCAGTTCATCAGAAGGTTGACCCTGGAGAAAAATGCTCCCATCTGCAGACTCATCAGAGAATTCACCCAGGAGGGACTGTCAATAAATGTCCTGAATCCAGCAATGGTTTTTATCAGAACTCCTTTCACCCCCATCACTCTAACCCTGCAGGAGAGAAGTCCTACAGGTGTGACAGTTGTGGCAAGGCCTTTGGCAGCAGCACAGGCCTCATCATCCATTACCGGACGCACACAGGGGAGAAACCTTACAGATGCGAGGAGTGCGGTAAATGCTTCAGCCAGAGTTCCAATTTTCAGTGCCATCAGAGGGTCCACACGGAAGAGAAGCCCTACAAGTGTGAAGAGTGCGGGAAGGGCTTCGGCTGGAGTGTCAACCTCCGTGTTCATCAGCGGGTCCACAGGGGCGAGAAACCCTACAAGTGTGAGGAGTGCGGGAAGGGCTTCACGCAGGCCGCCCATTACCACATACACCAGAGGGTCCACACCGGGGAGAAGCCCTACAAGTGCGACGTCTGCGGCAAGGGGTTCAGTCACAACTCGCCTCTGATTTGCCACCGGCGGGTCCACACCGGTGAGAAGCCCTACCGGTGCGAGGCCTGCGGTAAAGGCTTCACCCGCAACACGGACCTCCACATCCACTTCCGCGTCCATACAGGGGAGAAACCCTACACCTGCAAGGAGTGCGGGAAGGGCTTCAGTCAGGCTTCAAATCTCCAAGTCCACCAGAACGTCCACACCGGGGAGAAGCGGTTCAAGTGTGAGACGTGCGGGAAGGGCTTCAGCCAGTCGTCCAAGCTCCAGACCCACCAGCGAGTCCATACTGGGGAGAAGCCCTACAGGTGCGACGTGTGCGGCAAGGACTTCAGTTACAGTTCCAACCTGAAGCTGCACCAGGTCATTCACACCGGAGAGAAACCATACACCTGCGAGGCGTGCGGCAAGGGCTTCAGCTGGAGGTCCAACCTTCATGCCCATCAGCGAGTCCACTCTGGAGAGAAGCCCTACAAATGTGAGGCGTGTGACAAGAGCTTCAGTCAGGCCATAGACTTCCGGGTCCATCAGCGAGTCCACACAGGCGAGAAACCCTACAAGTGTGGTGTCTGCGGGAAGGGCTTCAGCCAGTCCTCGGGTCTTCAGTCCCATCAGAGGGTCCACACCGGGGAGAAGCCCTACAAGTGCGACGTGTGTGGGAAGGGCTTCCGATACAGTTCCCAGTTTATTTATCACCAGAGGGGCCACACCGGTGAAAAGCCTTACAAGTGTGAGGAGTGTGGGAAAGGCTTCGGGCGGAGCCTGAACCTTCGCCACCACCAGAGGGTCCACACAGGAGAGAAACCCCACAAGTGTGAGGAGTGTGGGAAGGCCTTCAGCCTCCCCTCCAACCTTCGAGTCCACCTGAGTGTCCACACCCGGGAGAAACTGTTTAAATGCGAGGAGTGTGGGAAGGGCTTCAGTCAGAGTTCTCGGCTTCAAGCCCACCAGAGGGTCCACACAGGAGAAAAACCCTACAAGTGCAACGTATGCGGTAAGGACTTCAGTCACCGTTCACGGCTGACATACCATCAGAAAATCCACACTGGCAAGAATCTTTAAAAATGAGAAACATGTTGATGGCTTCAGTCAGGATACACACATTCAGGGTTTTGGAGAGTCCATGCTGATGATAAACTATAAAGCAGGGGTCCCCAACCTCTAAGATCTAATGCCTGATGATCTGAGGTGGAGCTAAGGATGTGTTTGAATCATCCCAAAACCATTCCCCCTACCTCTGGTCCTTTGAAAAATTGTCTTCCACAGAACCAATCCCTAGTGCCAGTAAGGTTGGAGTCCACTGCTATAAAATATTGAGATGGAAAGGGATTCCTTCAGGTGGCTCTTTCTGGCAAATCCATTTAAATGGTTGGTAACATAGAACCATAGATGTTAACAGGGAAAAAGTAGGTTGTAACCCTCTTGGTAAGATTGACTTGATTTAAATGATCTCTCAGAGTGAATATTGGAGAAGGAAATGGCAACCCACTCCAGTAATCTTGCCTGGAAAACCCCATGGACAGAGGAGCCTGGCAGGCTACAGTCTGTGGATCACAAGAGTCAGACATGACTTAGCGACTAAACCATCCACCACTACAAAGTGAATATATGCCTAAAGATAATGTGTGAAAAGGATATTTGCCATATACTAGCTAGTTTTTTGATGGGAGGGTGGGAGTCAAGGACGACTTGGGGTTATTTTTTCATCAACTTCCATTTTATACTTATTTATAATGGCCATTATTTTTACTAATACTGTAAAACTATGAAAATGAATAAAATACTAAAAGTTTCATATAGCCAAAAATTCATAATATGATGACTTTATTTTATATGATAATATGAATTAAAACATGTATCTGTCATGGATGTATATGAAGGAATGTTCACTGCATCATTGTTTATTATAGCAAACATAGAAATAATCAGTTGGGTTGCCAAAGTATTTTATGATTTATTTATCTAGTGCAAATTATTGTTAACGGATGTTGGAGGATATCCAGAAAACATTCACCTGGAGAAACAAAGCATGGGATTTTTGTGTGATCTCATTAAAAAGGAAAGGTAGGTATTTATTTTTACTGATCTCTGAATGATGGAATTTTGATTCATGTAAATTTTTTACATTTCTTTAAACTTCTTGTTTTGAAATAATATAACACATGCCAGAAATTGTAAAAACTCTGAAATCTTTCATGTACCCTTTACTTAGATTCACCAGTTAACATATTTGAAACATATTCTCTTAACGTATGTGAATGTGTGTATGTGCACACATATTGACACATACTTTTTAAAACCATTTTTAATTGGAAGATAACTGCTTTACAATATTGTGTTGGTTTCTGCCATATATCAGCATGAATCAGCTATGGGTATCCACATGTCCCCTCCCTCTTGTACCTCCCTCCCACCTCCAACCCCATCCCACCCCTCTAGGTTGTCAGCTGAACATTGAATTTGAGCTCCTGTGTCATATAGCAAATTTCCACTGGCTGTCTTAATTTTACACCTGGTCATGCATGTGTTTCGGTGCTACTCTCTCAGTTTTTCCCACCTTCTTCCCACACTGTGTCCACAAGTCTGTTCTCTGTGTCTGCATCTCCATTGCTGCCTTTCAGATTGGTTCATCAGTGCCATCTTTCTAGATTCCATATACATGTGTTAATATATGATATTTCTCTTTCTCTTTCTGACTTACTTCACTGTATTTAATAGGCTCTAGGTTCTTCCACCTCATTAGAACTGACAAATGCATTCCTTTTTATGGTTGAGTAATATTACATTGACATGTACTTTTTCTTAACCATGAGTATGTTCCAGTCCTTTTACCCTTTGCATCTAAATACTTAAGTATTTAGACATATTGATATATTGTAAGAACAAGGAAATTTACTTCCATATCTACAAGTATAGCACTCAGGAAAATTGAATATTGATATATAACATTGTCTAATGTCCAGACCTTATTCAAATTTATCAGTTCTCTCTTTCCCTTTTCTCCCTCTCCTTTTTATTTATTTTTTGATAGGTGACAACTAAAATCAATTTAAGGAATCTTTAAAGAAAGGTCTATATTGCCTCCCATATAATCTAATTATTCACCATTTGAATATTCAGTTGTTGCTATACCAGTTACTGAAAATTTCCCTTATTTCCCACTACTTTGTAGTGCCACTTTTGAAGAAAATCAGTGATTTAAATATGATTAGATAGATGTCTTGACTCTCAATTCCCTTTGATTGGTCTACTTTTCAATAATTTTACTAATACCACACTACTTCAGCATAGCTTTGCAATGAGTCTTGGTATTTGGTAGAAGACATTTTCTCATCTTGTTCTTTTTAAGGGTGTCTTGGAAGCTTCCAGTTAGGATAGTAGGAGATACAAACAGAACCCCCATGAACTATTGTTTCTTAAAAAAAAAACAACAACAACAACAACTGGAATCAAACCGTTCTAACCTTTGGTTCACAGGAAAAATATGGAGAAATATTTGTGACAACATGAATGAAATTGTAGGACATAAACTAAATGAAACAAGACAGAAAGACACTGCATGGTATCATTTTATCTTACATGTGGAATCTAAAGGGGGAAAAGTGTCAAACTTAACTAGAGACAGTGAGTATAATGGTGATGGCTGTCTGGGAATGGGGAGAGGTTATAAAAAGGGTACAAACTTTCAGCTTTAAGATGAGTAAGATCTAAGGATCTAATCTATAGCTTGGTGACTATAGTTGATAATGCAGTATTGTATAGTTGAAATTTGCTAAGAATAGATATTAAAGGGTCTCCCTTTCTGCCCCCCAAAAGAGTTAACCTTTGATGGTGTGTTAAGTAATTCATTTGTGGGAATCCTTTCACAATATATATCAATTCATCACATATACTAAAATTTTCCTTAGCAGTTATACCTCATGAAATTGAAAAAAAAGAGTTGAATTTGTTACGGTTATCTGAGCAGGATACCTCACTTTCACACCAACTTTTTGAATAATCATCATGGCTCAATGATTTAGACCAACCTGGAGAAAAAACATTCTGTAGTATTTATGATGGTTTTATTTCTTACAATGATTTTACAAGTTGAAGGTTTGTGGCAAACCTGTGTCAAGCAAGTCTTCTGGTACCATTTTTCCAACAGCATTTTCAAATTAAGGTACATACATTATTTTTTAATATTAATCGTATACCTTGACTACTATAGTGTAATCATAATATATACACTGGGAAACTAGAACATTCATGGGGCTCACGTTATTTCATAATTTGCTCTATTGCAGTGGTCGGGAATCTGACCTAAAATATCACTGAGGTATGCCTGTATTCTAGGCCGTTCTTTTTCTTTTCTTTCTTTCTTTTTTATTTCCTTCCCTTCTTGCTAACGCATTTTCCTTTATTTGCTAGAAACTCCAGCTTTCAAAAGGAAACTTTTGTTATTTGTTTTGTGGCTTGATCAAAGGTTACTTTTCCTTCTGGTGAGTCTTTAACATATTGGAATGACTAGGTCATGCCAAGTAAACATTGTCAGTGGTCTTAAATGCATCCAGGTACAAAAGCAATAAACCAAGTTTGGGATTCTCTCCGCCCTTCCTTTCTCAGGCTGTCACACTTACTTTTCAGTCACACTTATTAGTAATGTAATGAAAACAACAACACCCAAAACCCTCCAGAAGACAGGAAGGAAACGGAAGATTAAGCTAAAACAGCACCTCGGTGAACTGAACGAGCTTTATTTTTCAAAGTTTCACTACTTTTGCCGAGGATTCTGGGAAGTGTAGTCCAGTGCGCCGGGTATTAGCGCCACTTCCGTCCCCGAGGATGAGGGACCGTAGCCCTTGTTCTGGTGGGGGATTCTGGGAATTGTAGTCCGAGAGCAGCGTGCAGTCCGGGCACTTCCGCTATAGGCGTGAGAGGCTTCAGTATCTTCTGAGAGGTGAGTCAGTACTTAGAGTTTGGGTGTCTTCTGATCCTGTCTGGATGTGGAGTATGCAGCTGTCACCCTCGCCCTCACCCTCGGGAAACAAGCAATGGAGAGCAGGGATGACGGTTTTTGTGTCTGGCGTTTGGAGAAGTTCTCGTCCCCTGGTTGGGGGCGAGGCGGGGTAGCGCTCTCCCGAGTTTGAGAGTCTCTCGGCCCCTCGGTTTTCCTCGCCTCCCCTACCTTATGCACACTCTGCCATCTCTTAGGGATATACCCTTTGTAGAATTATCAGATTGCTCCGGTTCACTTCTGTAAAGAGGAGTTAATAGTGGTACCTCCTTAGTAGGCATGTGATGAGATTCACGTGAAGCAAGTGTGAAACTGCTTAGAACCGATCGCTGGCAGCAGCTAAAAGCGGTCGATTGTCCAGTTTCTTCTTCCCGCGATGCTTTCAGTCCTTGAGAGCCTGTGTGAGCCCCGGGTGTTCTGAGCTCCAACTGCAGAGCCACTGGTTCTTCTCTAACCTCTGCAGAAAGAGGGGTTTTCCGTGGATTCCTTTGACATCCACAGCCCCGACCTTTTTTAAAGGAAGAAGGGAGTCTCACCCCTAGCCGGTACCTGGGGATGTCCGCTGTAAGTTATCCTGGGCCTGAGACACACAACTGTGTCTTTTCATTCTTCCATATCTTCCTATCTTTCCATTCCTGACCCTGATTTCTCAAAGAGGACTCACAGAGAGGAGAGAGCGAGTGACCCAGGAATCCTGGTACATCGTCCCAACGTGAGGGAATTTTATCTTGCCGTGTCATTTCTGCCAAGCTGGCAATAAGTTTCCTTCACTCTTGAGCAGGTTTTTTCTACGGGACAGATGTTCCAATGTTTATAGAATAAATGGGAGGTTGGATGAGACCTGTTGAAGAATGAGTAATAATAACCTGTTAACATAGTGAATGCCAGATACTCTTCTACAGGCTTTATATACAATGTGAAGTGAAGTGAAAGTTGCTCAGTCATGTCCGAATCTTTGCGACCCCATGGACTGCAGCATGCTAGGCTTCTCCATCCTTCACCATCTTCTGGTGTTTGCTCAAATTTATGTCCATTGAGTCAGAAGTGACATC